GCTCTTCCAGGCCCGGGGCCTCTGTCTAACCCCAGGTTAGGGGGTCTCCCAGGACCAGGTCCTATGTCCAACCTAAGGGCAGGTGGTCTCCTGGGAGCAGGTCCTGACCCCAGAAGTGGTGGTCCCATGGGCCCTGGATCTGGACCTAACCTGAAAGCAGGTGTTCTGTTGACCTTCAGGAATGGTCCTCCCAATTCTAGGCCAGTTGGCCTGGGCCCAGGACCTAACCCCAATCTGAGATCAGGCTTTATAGGGACAAATCCTGCCCCCAGGTTAGGTGTGTTTCCAGGCCCAGGCCTTGGGCCCAATCCAAGACCAAGTGGCCTGGGCCCAGGCCCTAATCTAGATGCCAGAGCAGGTGGTCTCTTGGGCACAGGACCTGGTCTTAAGAATGGTTGGACCTCAAGGCCTCCATCTTGTCCCCATTCTAAGAGCAGCAGGTCTTTTAGGAGCAAATTCAGCTTCTTTGTCACAGGCTTCTGGAAACATGGGCACAAGCCCATCTTCCATGGCAAGAGTACCTGGCCCCATGGGCCCAAACTCGGGTCCTGGCTCTCGCCCAGTTGGCCTTCCAGGACCAAATCCATCTCCCATCTCAAGGGCTCCTGGCCCCATAGACCCTAATTCAGCTCATTTCTCAAGGCCAGGGAGCCCCATGGGGGTAAATGCTAATCCTTTTCCCAGGGGAGTGGGTTCATCTGCCTTCTCTCAGTCTTCTGGCACATTGACATCAAATCCAGCTACCTTCCAAAGGTCCGCTGGCCTCCAGGGCTCAAATCCAACAGTTTTCCCAAGAGCCTCTGGGCCACTTGGCCCCAAGCCAGCTAACTTCCCAAGGACCGCTGGCCTGCAGGGTCCAAGTCCGACTACCTTCCCGAGGTCTACTGGCCCATTAGGCCCCAGTCAAGTTACTTTCTCCAGGTCAGCTGCCGGGCACCTGGGCTCTTCTCCAGCAGGCCCTAGGGGTATCAACCCAGCTCCTTTCACGAGGCCAACTGGGACCCTGGGTCTCAACCCAGCTTCCTTTCCAAGGATGAATGGCCCTGCAAGCAAGAGTTTGGTCCCATTTCCTAGAGTGGGAAGCCTCCCTGGCACAAACCCAGCTGCTGTCCCAGACCAGGGGGTCCAATGGCTGCAGTGTCCCCAAATGGAATGTTACTCCCTTAAACACCATTTTCCCTCCATGACTATCTTAGTTTATAGGCACTGTGGTTCTCAGCAGGGACTATCTCTTAGGTAAAAGGGTAGTTGTGGAGCTGCATTCTGAAGAGCATAGCTGGGCCTTAAGTTCAAATGAGCCATCTTTTTCCTCTGCATTTTTCTTGACTGAAGGTGAGATGTTATTTCTGGCATGTGAACTGTGGCAGGTGGGAATAATCCTGGCCTTGAGAGAAAGGATCTCCAGCCTCCCAGAAGCCTGCTGTGCTTTCATCACACAGTTTTCTGCCCATTGTTTCTTACTAGTTTCTTGAATTGCTCTTGTGGACTTTTCCTCAAGGATACATTGGCCTGCAGGTCCCAGTTCACATGTAGTCCCCTGGTCACCATTGGAGAATCAGTTCGCTGCTCTCTAGAAATGTGGCGTTGGTGAACAGACCATTCTTCCATGGCTCTGACCTGGGCAGCTTGGACCTGGTCATCCTCTACCACCATACCTTTCCCTGGGGGCTTGAACACAGAACAGGGAGATGGACAACCACTTCAAAGACCCACCAAATGCAGTTTCTGCTTGAGTGACTGGGCCTGCAGCTCCCTTCTCCTGGGACTTAGAGGTAGGCAGATTTAAGGCTCCTCTACTCATCCAGCTCCCTCTTCACTGGTACTCCCAATCAAAGAACCTCAAAATTTAAACTGATGTGGATGGGAATATGGGAATATGGGTGAGGGGGATGAAGGGAAGAAATCACTGTGCTTCGTTCAGCCTGCTGTGAAAGGATGGTTGGTGGTTTTCCTGCATTGTATCTTTTCTTACTGTGTCTTTAATAAATGGGATGAGAGGACAAAAAACAAAACCAAAAACAAAACACTTAGCCAGGCATGGTGGTGCACGCCTGTAATCCCAGCTACTCGGGAGGCTGAGGCAGGAGAATTTCTTGAACCCAGGAGGCAAAGGTTGCAGTGAACTAAGATTGCGACACTGCGCTCCAGCCTGGGCAATACAGTGAGACTCCATCGCAAAAGAAAAACAAAACAAAAAAAAAGCAATCAGCATATCATGGTGGATCACAGACCACGCTCTGGGCTCAGGGAGATCTGGGTTCAAATCCAACTCTACCAGCTCATGACTATGAGTTATAGCCAGATAAAAATAGAAGATACAGGATAAAATAGAATATTTAAGGAATTCAGGGATAAAGAGAGTTTAGTCTGCCACTTGAGTAGGGTTGCAGGTTTCTGTTTAACCCAGTCAGGTAACTAAAACTTTATAGCTAAAAGGTATGGCCTTACGCCCTCCCATGAGCAAAATGGCTATTTAAAAAAAAGGGGGGGGTCCCAATTTTTGCTATGAATAAAATTATTGTGACTAATTTTGTAAGAAAAATATGATATAGTTCATTGGTTTTTTTAAAAACCAAGCTTATTGACATAACAATAAACTGCCTTTATTTAAAGCATAAGTTTTGAGGCCAGGAGCAGTGGCTCACGCCTGTAATCCTAGCACTTTGGGAGGCCGAGATGGGTGGATCTCCTGAGATTTGGAGTTTGAGACCAGCCTGGTCAACATGGCTAGAAACCGTCTCTACTAAAAATACAAAGCTTAGCCAGGCGTGGTGGCACACGCCTATAGTCCCAGCTACTTGGGAGGCTGAGGCAGGAGAATTGCTTGAACTTGGGGGGTGGAGGTTTCAGTGAGCCAAGATCACACCACTTCACTCCAGCCTGGGTGACAGAGCAAGACGCCATCTCAAAAAAAAGTGTAAGTTTTGATATATGTATATACCCTTAAATTCATGTCAGCCCTCAAGGTAATGAACATATCTATCCCCCTATGGTGGTCTCTCTCTTCTCCTTGAACCCCCATCTGCTTTCTGTCACTACAGATTAGTTTGCATTTTCTAGAATTTAATGTTAAAGGAATTATATAGTGTGGATTCCTCTTTGATTGGTCTCTTCCATGTAGCATAATGATTTTGAGATTCATCCCTGTTGCAGTGTGTATCAGTAGTTCTTTCTTTTTTATTGCTGAGTAATATTCCATTGTATCAGTACATCACAATTTGTCTGTTGATCTGTTGATGGACACTCGGTTTGTATCCAGTTTGGGGCTATTACAAAGAAAGCTGCTATGAACATTCATGTAAAAAAAGGGGGGGGTTCCTGTGTACCCCGTGACTAAGATAGAATCATTCAGGAAGCATGAGGCTCTTAAATCCTATGTCTGGGTCTTGAATCTCTAACTACACAAACACATCCTGAGGGGAAAAGCCACCTTCTGACTTCAGCTCAATTTACCTGATATAGTAAATCTACTACCCTTATAGTAAATCTACTACCCTTATTTGAGTAAGTGACTTTTCAATCCTGGGGAGAATTTAGAATGATATGATGAAGTAAATAGCCATAGTAGTAACACTTTGTATAAATTAAAAACAATTTCTTTGTAATGTTTAAGAGAATCGAGCATTTTAGGAAATCTATTAGATTAGCCTTGAGCAATTGATTTTGACTTGTAATTTCACATAGAAAAGCATAAGAGATTTTCACAGGCGTATTAACAGTATTGAAATGTTTATGAGAGCTCAAGATTCAACAAATTTATAGGCTTAATCTATTATCTTCACCAGAGTCATTTAACTGGTAGAATTTTGTTTGTTAGGATTATACTTACGCCTTGTCAGGCATTTGAAGGGCTCAGAAAGTTCAAATATATTACATTTATGAGTGTAGTTTAAAAAGGGGAATAAAATAAACTTATAAATGGGATTAATTGTTTAAAGTGATTTTAATCTGTTTGAATTGTGTTGACTATTAATCAAAGAACAAATGAAAGTAATTGCTCTTATTTTATACAACAATTACAAGATTTATAAATATGCAAGTTAGAAATTGCATATTACTATAAAACCCAACTAACTATAGGTAGTCCAAGAGACCCCTAGTTATGTCACCTTGGGATGAGCTTCAGTAGCCTCATCTGGAAAATTTCTAGAGTGTTTGTGAAGACAATTAAATGAGATAATATGTCCAAATCACTTAGTCCAGTATCTCTCATAAGGTTTAACTTGACAGATCGTTCTATGTTTAAAAGCCTTCAAAAATACGGATTTAGCCTGGATGCAGTAGCTCATGCCTGTAATTCCAGCACTTTGGGATGCCGAGGTGGGCGGATGACTTGAGGTCAGGAGTTCGAGATCAGCCTGGCCAACATGGTGGAATCCCATCTCTACTAAAATTACAAAAAAATTAGTTGAGCATGGTGGCAGGGGCCCGTGATCCCAGCTACTCGGGAGGCTGAGGCAAGAGAATCACTTGAATCCGGGAGGCAGAGGTTGCGGTGAACAGAGATCACACCACTGCACTCCAGCCTGGGCAACAGAGGGAGACTCCATCTCCAAAAAAAAAGGATTTAAATATGTGGATTCACTGTCAGGTGGAAGAGGAGCCAAATGCATTCTGTAATGACCTGGGGAATGGAGCTGGTAATACCATGAAGATGGAGACTATAACAATACAGGTCCAAGGATGCTGGGTACTTAACTACGTTCCAGGCACTGTAACGAGTGCTTTACATAGATTATTTCATTTATTTGTCGCAAGGTACTGGTATTATTGGGGTTTGATCAGAGAAGCAGAGCCACTGTGAGTTAAATAAGAAATTTAGCTTACAGATCAGACTTTACGAATATTGAGAGCTGTGTAGTTTGTGTATAGCTCTTGCTTCTGCATCTGGTTTTGGGCCTGAAGTCAGCATCTCCAGGAGTTGGGAAGGGAAAATGGATGTAAAGTGGAAGAGAGCAAGAAAGAGCTGAAACTCACATCTGTCTCTCATCAGAACTTACACTGGTCACATTGGTATCACACTGGAATCTTCGTCAGTCTCTCACTGTCTCCAAGCCTCTGACTTTAAAGATGCCAGTGACCTGTAGAAGAGCTGGCACACTTCACCACGGAACTTCACACAGAGTTGGCCCAGGATCCAGAGATGCTGAAGAAGAGCTGGCCAGGGTTGGAAGAGCTGCATGCCCAGTTGGTGACCTACATGAATAATGCAAACCAGGCCTGTGCTGATGTAGGGAAACTACAACAGCAGTGGCCCTATACCCTACTTCCTGCCTTACTTCTGCCCTCCAATTTCCCCTGTGGTCAACTCTAACCCAGGACCAAACAAAGAAGGGAATTCTGGGAGTCTTAGTTCCAACTTAGCTAAATCGATACAACGCAAAGCTACTGTTATCCCCATTTTACAGAGAAACAAACTGGATTAGAAGGTTAAATAACTTGCACAAGAGCACACAGATGGTAAGTGGGAGAGCAGGAACATGAAAAGAGGCAGTCTGGCTCAGAACCGGAATCTTGACCACTGCCTTCTACTGCCTTTCCCTAATGCGTGAAAATTAAGAAGAAAGCAGCCAGACTCAGTGACTCATGCCTGTAATCCCAGCACTTTGGGAGGCCGAGGCAGGTGGATCACCTGAGGTCAGGAGTTTGAGACCAGCCTGGCCAACATGGCGAAGCCCTGTCTCTACTAAAAATCCAAAAAAATTAGCTGGGCATAGTGACATGCACCTGTAATACCAACTACTCAGGAGGCTGAGGCAGAAGAATCACTTGAACCCGGGAGGTGAAGGTTGCACTGAGCTGAGATTATGCCACCGCACTCCAGCCTGGGCAACAGAGCAAGACTCTGTCTCAAGAAAGAAAGAAAGACAGAAAGAAAGACAGAAAGGAAGGAAAGAAGGAAGGAAGGAAGGAAGGAAGGAAGGAAGGAAGGAAGGAAGGAAGGAAGGAAAGAAGGAAGGAAGGAAGGAAGGAAGGAAGGAAGGAAGGAAGGAGAAAGGGAAGAAAGGGAAGAAAGGGAGGAAGGGAGGGAGGAAGGAAGGAAGGAAGGAAGGAAGGAAGGAAGGAAGGAAGGAAGGAAGGAAGGAAGGAAGGAAATGAAAATTAGAAGAAAGCAAGTTTCAGCTCAATGGCAAAATGATCAGTTTAGCAGTATGAGCTCGCCCACAGTGGAACAAGCTGCTTTGCAAAGCAGAGGGTTCCCTGTCCTAGATGATGCTCAAATACAGGCTGGGTGGCCATCTGTCAGAGATATTACACAAGAGGGTACCCGCTGGGAGGAAGAATGAACTATGTGGCTACCCACAGCACTTTCAACTCCAAGATTCTATGTTTCTAGAACATACAGTTCAGGGAAAGGGCTGGAACTCACAGCGTACAAGGAACATAACAGAAGGGATGGAGAAGACAGAAATGCTCAAGGGTGGGCTAGAAAGAGCCTTAGCCAAGCTGTGCCAAGTGGTGCCAAAATCCACTGTGAGAAAAATAAAAATTGTGGTCAACCCAAGAATTGTTTTTCACACACATGGTGCCACATTAAAAAGAAACTCTTTAGTGTTTTTTTTTTTAATTCCATTAACTGACTTGATCTCACTGAATTGACAGGCCATTTTTGTTGTTGTGTAGGTGTGATCTTTAAAAGACCTGTGGAAAGGCTGCACATTAAGACATGCTATCCATTGACTCTTTAAAATGAAAGTTTAATCAATTGAGGGCATGACAAAAAGTTTGAAGCAAATATCCAAATACTTCAAAGAATGGTTTAGAAAAGAATTTTCACATTTGAATCTCTGCCAACATAAACACATAATAGTGAACCTTATGTCTCAGTTACAGTTTAAAAAATTAAAAGAAAAAGACAGTGACTACTCCAATGTTTCTGTAGCAGATGCATCCTAATAGCATCTTTCCAAAGCAGATATTACAATAATTTTCTTTTCTCCCCTCAAATTCTACACAGGCTGGTTCACCAACTATACACATTGGAGGCCATGAAAAATCAAGGTAAAGGTGTTAGATGAAATTGACTTCTCACCAAGAAAATTACCAATCTGTAAAGTTTATGGAATAACCAAACCTCAAAGCCAATAGATAGAAACGAAATCCCATGAGAAAAGTTATTGCAGGCCAGGCGTGGTGGCTCACGCTTGTAATCCCAGCACTCTGGGAGGCTGAGGTGGGTGGATCACGAGGTCAAGAGATTGAGACCATCCTGGCCAACATGGTTAAACGCTGTCTCTACTAAAAATACAAAAATTAGCCAGGCGTGGTGGCACATGCCTGTAATCCCAGCTACTCGGGAGCTGAGGCAGGAGAATCACTTGAACCCGAGAGGCAGAGGTTGCAGTGAGCCGAGATAGCGCCACTGCACTCCAGCCTGGCAACCGAGCAAGACTTCACCTTAAAAAAAGGAAAAAAGAAAGGTTATTGCAGTGTGGCAGATATCTCTCTCCACCGTTCTTTGCCTGCTCTCTGCCCAGGTGGCTGACTTGAATGGAGCACAATTAGTGGGCATCATTGTTCTCTGGTTTCCAGTGGGGTGTAGCCAATGCACAGTCCCAGAAGATCAGAGGGAGGAAGGAGAGTCAAGTTGTGGTATTTATTCTCCTAGCATTCTCCTTTCAAGGTCACCTTGGGCAACAGAAGATAGTGTTATTTATTTATTTATTTATTTATTTATTTATTATGTATTTATTTTCGAGAGAGAGTCTTGCTCTGTTGCCCAGGTTGGAGTGTAGTGGCGATCTCGGCTCACTGCAACCTCCGCCTCCTGGGTTCAAGCAATTCTCCTGACTCAGCCTCTTGAGTAACTGGGATTACAGGCATAAGCCACCACGCCCAGCTAATTTTTGTATTTTTAGTAGAGATGGGGTTTCACTATGTTGGTCAGGCTGGTCACGAACTCCCAACCTCAGGTGATCCACTCCCCTTGGCCTCCCAAAGTGCTGGGATTACAGGTGTGAGCCACTGCGCCCGGCTGGATAGTGTTCTTAAGGCATCTCTCTCTCTGTCCAGGTCTCTCTCTTTCTCATCCCATTGTTCATATACACGGTAAAGGCTCTCCACTGTTAAGAGACTCAGGGGACTGGCCGGGCGCGGTGGCTCAAGCCTGTAATCCCAGCACTTTGGGAGGCCGAGACGGGCGAATCACGAGGTCAGGAGATCGAGACCATCCTGGTTAATACGGTGAAACCCCGTCTCTACTGAAAAGTACAAAAAACTAGCCGGGCGAGGTGGCGGGCGCCTGTAGTCCCAGCTACTTGGGAGGCTGAGGCAGGAGAATGGCGTGAACCTGGGAGGCGGAGCTTGCAGTGAGCTGAGATCTGGCCACTGCACTCCGGCCTGGGCGACAGAGCGAGACTCCGTCTCAAAAAATAAAAACAAAAAAAAACAAAAAGAGACTCAGGGGACTACACTCTCCTCTGTGGTCTCCCCTGCCCCACACCTTTGTAAGCAGTCAGTTATTAAACCCTCCTCAAGTTATGTTAATTAGAGAATGCCTTCTGTTTCTTGCTGGGTCCCTGACTGATACACACAGAATTATTAAAATACTAGTAATTGTCAGATCTCAGTATTAGTGCTGTGTCCACCATTTTCAGAAAGTTAGATTCTCACATTTCTTTTTTTAACGTCTCTTAAACATCTTTTCACAAAGATTCTCACATTTCTATTTCTGAAAATTCTAATTATGACTGAGACGGTTACACCTAGAGTTTGGTGTTGTTAATATTTCACACTCTGCAGCCAGAATGCCCGGGTTGAATCTCAGTTCTAATGCGTACTACTTGTGTAATTTGGGCAAATCATCTAACCCAGTGATTCTCAACCTGGGGGTAGTTTTGCCCCTCAGGGAACATTTGGCAATGTCTGCAGACATTTGGATTGTCAAAACTGGGGTGCAGGGGTGTTGTTAGGCACCTAGTCATGGATAGAAAACAGAGATCTTGCTAAACATCATACAAGTCCCCCACAGGACAGTCCCCCACCACAAAGAATTATATGGTCCGAAATGTCACTAGTGCCAATAGGTTGAGAAACCCTGATGTGACCCTTCTGTGCCTCCATTTCCTAATCTTTAAAGTGTAGTTAACATTAGCACATACCTCATGGGATTGTCTGAGGGTTCAGTAAGCTAATACATGCAAAGCACTTACAACAATGCCTGGGATATAGTATGCGCTCAATAAATGTAAGCTGACATTGTCATCTTCACCATCATTATCAGGCTTTCTAGATCTCCTAGTACACAGAGGACTTGCTCAAAGCCAGGCAGTTAGAAATTCATTATGAAAGAGAATTTACTAAAGCACTGCGAAAGCAGAGATCTTGTCTGGCTTTATTCTACTGTATCCTCAGCACCTTAGTGTCTAGCATCTATTTTATTTGTTGAATATATTGCACGGACTAGAATTCCTTACACACACACAGTAGCTGCTCAATAGTAGTGGTAGCTGTGGTGGTTATAATGGATTTCATGACAGTATGTCTTTGGAGCCTGAAAACAAGAACCAGTGGGTCTTTTCTTTCACTTTCTTGCTCAAATCTTTTTAATTTTGTTCAACAACTGTTCAACAACTCAAGGCCAAGAAGAAATTCACAGATAAGTTACATGATTTCTAAAACTGCAGAATGCATATTTATATTTTCCACATATTTTTAAAAGGTATTGATTTAGAATTATCTTAAGTGGCACTTTTTAAATTTTTTTATTTTTACCTTGCTTCAGTCCAACGAAAGAGTTAGAGTTGGATGGCAATGTCTAAAAATTAAGCAAGATGATAAGGCAAAAGCAAAAATGAGGGTAGAAAAAAATAGATGAAGCAAAGAGTTAGGTTAGAACCCCCCAAAATACCCTGTAAGAACCTAGCCCCCTGCCAGAAAGTCACAAATGTGGCAGGTAAATGCAGAGAGTAACACCTGATCCATCACGTATTTTGCACACTCATACAGTAAAAAACTAAAAGAAAAGAACAATTATTCTTTGTGATGAAACGCGAAAGTTCTCCCTACACAGAGAATACTGAAATGAAATTAATCTCTTCAGTGGCGTCTTTATAGAGAAGTCAATAGTTTATGGGGCTATTCTTTATAATGTCCTGCAGTGTACACAAAAGGTGTGATGCTAAAGCACAGTCCAATAAAAGTAACTCTACAAAAGGGTAAAATGACACAATTTGGGTGTAAATCTTTCTAGTAGT